ATGAAGACAAATATAATCTGTTCCCTGTCCAGCTCCCTGATTTTGCTGGTTTCGGGACTGCCTGTTTGCCTCGGCCTGCTGGACAAGTGCCTCTTCAAATTGGGAGAGGCCATGCTGAACACTCAGATGTCAAGGTTTCCCATCTGTTGAGGCCCATTCTTAAGGCCTTCAGATCCCGCTTGCAGGGAAGGAACTGACCTAATTTGTAAAGAGTGATGACTCCATGTTTGGGACTAATTATGGTGTAAGTCCAAATGGACACCAAGTTTCAATCTCTCCCATTCTTAAAGCACTGTCCTAAAAAGAGTGAATAATCCTTTCTTAAGAATCTGGTGTGAAAGGATGACTGTGCTGGTCCTTCAGCCCTCATCACTGCATCCTAGCTCCAGCCACTCATTAGTTGCAGATGGAGAGGCAAAAGTCCATCTTGAGAAATGAAACTCAGAAACACTGCCCCCAAATCCTCTCACGTCCATAAGCAGTGCTGCCTAGTTGCAGCTAATGTCCTTGAGGACAAGTGTCAGAAATATAATCCTGCATACTGGACAAGTGGTTTAGTTCCAAGGTGGTTTGGGAGGCCAATTTACAGATATTTATTTATTTTTATTTATGCATTTTGTATCCCGCTCTCATTAGTGTCACAGCACTACTCTGGGCGAGTCACAACTCGTAAAACATAAAACAAAAATTAAAATTAAAATATTAAAACCAATAGGAATAACCCTAAAAAAAAAGGCACCGACTAATCCCAGAGTGGATGGAGGAGAAGAGGGGAGGAAAGAAGAGGAGGGGAAAGAAAAAAAATAAGGGGGGGGAGAGAAGGTGGTCAGCTGGGGTCAGCGTGGACAGCCCCCCTGGAAAGCAATGTCTTTAATTGCTTCCGAAAAGCAGAAGCTGGTTCCGTAAAGTTGAAGCCACCGCAAAGAAGGCCCTACCTCTTGTAGAGGATTTATGAGCCTCCCTCCCAGAGGAGCCTCGACAGGAATTATCTTGTGGGTCAGGCAGACGACATTAAGGACAGATGCTCCAACAAGTAACATGGGCCCCAAACCTGGAGGGCTTTGTATGTGAGTGTCAAAACCTTGGACCTGATCCAGGACACCATGGGCAACCAGTGGAGGTGAGCCAGAACTGGAGTGATATGGTGCAATTTATTTGCACCAGCCACCAGTCTGGGTGCTGCATTCTGGATCCAGTGAAGTCTCCAGATCAGGTTCAAGGGGAGCCCCATGTAGAAGGCATTGCTCTAGTTAATCCGGGAGATGACCAGGGCCTGCACCAAAGTCCTGAGAGAGTCCTTGTCTAGGTAGAGGCGAAGTTGGGCAATTAGCCTAAGATGGTTAAAGGCTGACTTGGACATGGCTGCAGTCTGGGACTCCCAAAAGAGAACCAGGCCCAGAAGAATGCCCAAATTACACACACGGTCCCTAAACTGGAGGGAGTACCATCCAGCCTAGGGACCATCCCCTCTAAGGTATTAGAGCCCTCCCCCCAGGAGCAAAATCTCTGTTTTGTCTGGGTTCAGTTTGAGCTTGTTAGCCCTGTTTCATTCCAGTCCTGCAACCAGGCCATGCTCCAGTGTCCGGATGGCATTCACTACAGAGGTGGTAACAGAGAGATAGAGATTGTGTGTCATCAACATACTAACGACACCTTACTCCAAAACTCCTGATGACCTCCCCCAACAGCTTAACATATTAAACAGCATTGGGGATAGTGCCGATCCCTGAGGAACCCAACACCGAAGGGTCTAAGGTGCCGACACCTCCTCCCCTAGCTGAACTCTTTGGACACGGTCCTTGAGGAAGGATCGGAGCCTGCTCAATGCTAAGCCCCCAATCCCAACCTCAGAGAGCCTGTCCAGGAGGATACTGTGGTCGACGTGATCAAAAGCCTCTGAGAGATCTAGGAGTATCAACAGGATGCCTCTGCCCATCAGCCTCCTCCCTTCCTTTCAAAATTATTTCTGCCAGCTTAAGAGTTTAAGAAAATGATCCACAAGTAGCATTATTGCCTCTCTCTACCTCTGCCTATTCTCACCCCAACATGCCATCTGTCTGGTGAAGGAGGCATGGCCTTGGAGATTCCATCCTGTATTATGTACCTTGAGTGCTTGTCTCTTTTTTAGAGACAAGCAGCTGAAGTTTTAAGTAGAATTACTCATCAATATATTTTGCCTTGAGAGAAATTCTTTGCACTTTGTTTTATAGAGGCGAAGAGGGACTTGCTCCGTACGGAACAAAGTTCATTACTTCTGCCAGCTGCTCAAATGGAAATTTCAAAACAGTAGAAAGAGCTGAAGAGTCTCTCCACTAGGTCTTGGCCAGGCTCTGCTCGTTTGTTTTTCCCTTTCTGGGAGACTCATCTCCAGGCTAAATGGGCTGCAAGGGCTTTAAATCAATGGACAATTTTTAGAGATACCTTTTCTCCAAGAGATTGGTTACTTTTCATTGAATTTATGGACACACCCTAGGATTCTCGTGGCCTTCCATCTGTCCAGCTTCAACTCGGATGGGATATTCTGTAAATCACGAAACCTTGGAATATGTATGTCAGCAGGTTTCTGAACTATTTATTCCATTCTCTCTCCATAGGTGTCCCTCGCTTCCTGCCCCTCCTTACTAATTTCAAAGCCTTAACAAGTACAATGGTCACTTTTTAAAAAATTATTATCAATTGGTATTTTATGGGTGTATTAAAACTATGAATGAGGTTTAAAAATGTGCCATAAAGTCTTGGAAAGCCTACACTTACAAAAAGAAAAAGAAAAACCTGGATCCCATACACACCCTGTCAACTGATTTTGCATTGTTTTTGTCAAGTGCATGAGACCTCCAGTCTAGGCTGCATTTTCTCTGAGGGCAAGATTCTAGGCATCCACACCAGCCTCCTCTCCCCTCCCCTCCCCGACCTTTAAGACCAGACAAGCATCTCTTCTCTCTTGCCTGGATCCTGCCAGTGGTAGGAGTAATGAGCCCACGGCCTTTTTGGTAGGTCATGGGGACAACGCTTCTTTAGGTGCGGAAGCAGTCATGTGGCTCATTCAGTCTAACACTGTGCTGCTAAGAAAGGCATTCTGCAAATCTACTGGAATTCAGCCACGCTGATAAGAAATCAGAAAAGGGACTTTTATTGCACAAGTCACTTCTAGTGCCCGGAATGTCTTTTCTCAAAACAAAAGTGTTTCTTTTTCTTTTTAAAAAACCTAATCCTTTTTTTAAAAGCCCTATTCTAAACTATTTCATCTTTTGGGTTGGGTGTCCCTGTGTAGCTTTGTAATTGGAATACCATGGCAGTCTATAGCCCTCTTAATGCACACATATTATGGCTATTAAATTTATTTTTGCAGGAAATGGAATAATGTGGATGTGTAAAAATGTGGAGTGATATGAAGATGGTCATCCCATTTTCATACGCGTGTCCAGTTATATGTTTCTCAGTGGGGATTTCTCTATTTATATTTAGGTTTTCTCATTGTAAGCTACCCACCAGGTCAGTGTAGGCTCTGGGAATCCTGTTACTTCTACTTCCAAAGTCACCGGAGAACCTTCCATGACAGTTACATTAGACAGAAGCTTGGAGAAGCTAGGCGCCTGTCCAGATAGGCTGACCATGCTGTTCTTTTCAGATGTACTTTTAATCTCTTCTCGAGTGACCATCTGCCTCTGACAGCTTCTGGTGGCGTCTGATTGAAACAGGAGATCTGAGAATGCGTTGGGTGAAGCATGCAGCCTGCCCTGTTTTTTAGTCAAGTTATTTCTGTCATGCAATTGTCTCTGCACTTTTCCTGTGCTTCGGCGAACCTCATGGCACTGCAGATGCGTCTCACACACTTCACTCGACATGCAGTAGGCCGGCTTTGCTTCAGGCGTGCAGGAAAGAGGGCTGGTTTCGGGCAGTTCTGGGGAACTCTGAGCAAAAGGGGATTCCACTTGACATTTAGAGGAGTAGCTTAAGGTAGAGGAAGAATATCTCTCTAGCTGGTCGGACATACATTCCTTCCTGTGACCACCATCAGGCAGGTCAGCGTAAGCAGCAGGGGTTAAGGGATCAGATTCCTCAGCCATTCTTTTACCGCTAGCGTTTATCTGCATTTGCACACTATAAGAGCTGACATGCAGGCTCCGCGAACTACAGCAAGAGGGCTCTTCCAGCTCCGTCTCAGAATGCAGAAGGTTGGATTCTGGGGTCTCGGAAAGCGGTGGCAAAGAGATATCATCGGGGGATATACACTCATATTCATCTCCAGAGGGCATGTCTTCTGCCAGCAGCTCAGCCTGAAAGCTGTCCTCTTTGGCAGGAGATGAACGTTCCGGGTCCGGTGGAACAGAATCCTCACCGGTTGGGCAGATGACTGAAGGATTGGCCAAAGCCTCCTCTTCCTTAAAAACAGAATGAGAGACAGAGAGAGAGTCTCTGAACAAAAACGTATACAACCCTTCATTTGTTCTTGTCATACAATCTGCTTTGAAATGATGTAATTTCTAAGAGCGCAATGCATTTATTACATTTGAGGCTAATAGAATAGATCCCTTGCTAGTAGTCCTGGGAAATCTTAATCTACAGTTTCTTTACTATAAAATCAAGTCAATGGTCATCAGGCTCTTTCTTCTCTCTCTACGAATAAGCCCTTATAGTAATTCTTGAAATCTGCAACATTTTGTATTCCGGAAGATTTGGGAAGAGTAACAATTTAGAGTGTGCCATCCTATCGGAACACTATCCTTCATTTTAATTACTTTTCTCTCATACACATTCCAACACTAGCTGTCCCATGAGATTTAAATGTCCTCAACTTTCTGGGATGACCCACATTTCTGCTTTATTCCCTTCTCCAATAATTATTTTGTGATGGGTTAAGAACAGCCCCAAACTCAAATTTTCATGGCCACTAGGAATTGATTGATGATACTTACACACCACAAATGTCATACTTATATACCACTAGTTATAATGAAATCTCTGAATGGTTTATATAAAAGGTATTACACATCCAGAGCCAAAATATATAACGGCATAAGGAAATAAAAATAGTAAATCAGAGCAATGTCATGATTGCTTTTATGTCACAGTGGCCAAATTGCAGTATTGCAGTCAAACCTCTGCTATCATGGCCTGAATTCGATCTGGATGGATTCAGGTAGCCAGCTCAAGGTTGACTCAGCCTTCCATCCTTCCAAGTTTGGTAAATCGAGGACCCAACTCACTGGGGGCAAAGTGTTCCTTGCATCATTATGCTGTCAACCATCCAAAAAGAGTGCTCTAGCACTATGGGATGGTATGTACGTTGAAACAATAACCCTGGAAAATTTTATTTAAAAAGTTTATTTAAAACCTCTACATTTTCTGCTTCCAGAAGTGCATACAAAAAGTTATTCTAGAGAGCGGGTACCACTACTGTACTAGGGTGTCCTAATTTTGTGATATAACATGAGTGATGTTCCTTTTAGTGTGCATCAACCAACACTGCCTCCTCTGAAGGTCTCAGAGATCAACCAAGGAAGGAGGTCTAGGATGTAGCCAGGTCTCGAGTTATTGACGGCCTTTGCATTTCAGCTGCAGAACCTGGAATATGGCTCATTCCCAGATAGGCAGTCACTGCAATTCCAGAATGGACGTTACGTGTAGTGAGATGCATTCTGTACCACTTGCAGGTTTCAAACTCAATGTCCTACAATGGTGAGGTTACCAGTGTGTGAACCACAACTGGTAGAGCAGTGAGTGTTAACGTTGCTTCATTTTCATCAAAACATGTAGAATTCTTAAGTATATTTATTGGAAACATCCTTTTTGCTTTTTTAACTGGGAGTGAATTTCTGGTCACTTTCAGTTTTGAAACCAACTTCCGGGGGCGGGGGAAGGTACAGTGGTGCCTCGCATAGCGATGTTAATCGGTGCAGCAAAAATCGCCACTAACCGAAAACATTGCTATGCGATTTAAAAAACCCCATTGAAACGCATTGAAACCCCTTCAATGCGTTCCAGTGGGGGACAAACTTACCTTTAAGCGAAAATCCTCCATACGGCAGCCATTTTCGCTTCCCCGTAAGTGAGGAATCCGTCCCAAAAAAGAGCGGGTGGCTATTTTTTTTACGGCGGCCATTTTGGAACCACCGATCAGCTGTTGGGAAAAAATCGCTATGCGAAAATCGGTAAGCGAAACAGCGATTCTTTCCCATTCAAAACATCGTTATGTGATCGCTTTTGCGATCGCAAAAACCTAATCGCTATGTGATTTTTGTCGTTAAACGGGGTGCTCGTTAAGCGAGGCACCACTGTACATGTGATTCCTAGAGCAGTTCTCTGGGGATGGCAGTGGAGGCGATAACAGCTTCTTTTCAACGATGCCTGCCCAATGCTGTTTTAAACAACGAATGGACTATTTTTCAGTTCACTATGAAACTGTGATTTGTTGCCAGTCTAGATTTGTTACAAGTTTAATATAGTCTTGTTATCAGTTTAAACAAAACCACATATAATATGCATTAGAAATGAATTGACGCCAAGGGCAATGTTTGTAACAACAAAAGCCAAATGTTGTTCCAACCCTGAAATATCTTCTAACTTTTCTCATGGGACAAGCATTTGTTGTGAAGAAAAGGAGGACCTGATTAATCATAGTTTCAATGCAGAGAAATGTTTCCTAATGGAACGGAAACAACTGTGTTTCTGTCTAATATTGTAAATGGTGTAATGCAGTGGTTCTCAACCTTTTCTTGGCCGTGGCCCTTTTAGGAGCTCTTTCTCCTGTCAAACAAGGAAAACCTTTGGCTGTGTGCAAACAAGGATACAACACAAACAGGTGGCTCTGTGCCCTGCTTCAAATATGTCAAATGATATACAATAAGATACTTCTAAGTAGCCATCTGGGCACGTCCTTGCTGTGAAGGCATATTCTATGATTATTTAAGTGTGCAAACTGCCTCTCTAACTAGCTCTCAATAGTCTGAATTTTGCTCACACAAAAATCAAGAGGGGAAAAGTTTGCAAACCTGCTCCTTTGCCTTTTCTTTTACATAGTCCTTCTCTATCTGCTGTTTCTGTATTTCCTGTTCAGCTTCGATCTCACCAACAACAGTATCGGAATCTGGTGTTTTTTCCTCTAGTGAGCCTTCCTGTTAAATGAAGCAAAAAGTTACGGTAACGAATAAGACAGTAAGAAAAGTAACTGATGTGTCAAACATTTCTATACCTATTCAAACTCTGCACACAATTGTCACATGTCTATATGTAGACTTCACACTTCTATTTATACCAGCATTTATATCCTATTTTGGGGCCACAGAAGTACCCTGCTCTACAGTAATAAAATGTAATACAATATAAACCAAAAACAAAGCAAGAAAAGCAAGAAGAAAAAACAACCCACAACCATTTAGAAGAAATGTGTTCTATACCTGAAGCCCTTGATCTCACCCCAGTTTTCTTTCCTAAAAAATAACTTTTTCACATTTCATGAAGTTGATTAACTCAGACCTGCTCTTGCTGAATGATTTCACTTTGAATTTAGGAGATATAGTAATCTAACATATTCAGTTGATAACTGGTTTTGAGTGACATCTCTGCTGCCCTAATAAGTATAGTGTGTGAAGGACAGGTTCCCCTGTATTGTAGGGTTTCCTGTAGTCTTTTGTATGTTTTTGTGCGCCTTCAAGTCATTAGTCACATGACGCTTGCCAAGGACACTGAAATCCGGGCCACCCAGCATTCTACCTTCCTACATTGGAGTGAATGCCAGCTATTCACGTATGTGATAGAGACTAGAAAGGGACATCATTAGTGTTAGGATTCAATAGAGAACCTCCTTATTAAATTGCAGATTAAGTCACACTCTTCTCCAGCCTGCCCCACTCTGTGGACACCTGATGTGGACCCCCAAGACCTTTTGTGCCATCTAAGGAGCGGAGAGAGACAATTTTGCTATGTATAATGCCACACGGCATCCTGTTCCCCACAACCTTTCCAAATTTTTGGCAATGAAGAGAAAATTAACCACTGGAAAGATCAAGAGGGGTTTTTCAGTAAAACCAAAGAAAATAAATAAAACTGAAGAAAACTGTCAGGATATTGTAATTTTTATAGGCCTGAACCTGGATAAATGTGTTATTAATGAGCTGCCATTGTGAACAGATGTGTGTATGCTGAGTCACTGTGACTGCTGAGAAGATGATGCAATGTCTGAAAATGAGAAGACACCCAGGTGCAGAAGATGAAGTAATGTGTCTTCTGATTGGACTAAAGAAGCCTTGTATATAAGAGAACAGTGTATTCATAGATTTCTCTTCTCTCTCCACCATTTGCTGCTATCCTCTATGCCGGTTTGTTTAATGATTTCCTGCCATGCTGATGTGATGCCAGCCTGTATATACAGTACTTGTAAATATTGTAAATACACCTGTCTTGCTAAAGAAGAAGAACTTGTAAGTGTTTTCAATTAACTCTGCGCATTTTCCTGTCGCCAAATCCTGACAAAGAAAAATACCACCAAAGAAAAATACTTTGGGTGGGCAGGATGTGGCCCTCCAAGGCTCTAGGGTGGTCATGTCCAGTCCTTGCACCTCTGGAGGCTGCGTAGGGGCTGAAGGGTTGCGAAGGGGGAACTTCGCCCCATCATTCTGCCCCTTGTCAAGGGGAGCCACTGAGAACCAAGACATCCAACATCTGACTTTCTGTACTTCATCTTTGCAGTTGTGCTATGATGGCACCCAAGTTCCCTCTCGTCCCTTCTCTATTTCTGTAGACTGCTCCTGAACATGGCATGCACCTTACCAATCCTGCTGAGGTTCCACCCATACTCATACAAATTTCCACCTGAGCACGAGTGGAAGCTTTTTCCCAGTGCAGTCCTGCTGTGCTTCTGTTGTCAGATCTGGCCTTTTTGGACATGGTTGTACCAAGAGTCTGTGCCAGCTCTTTTGTTATATAATAAAAACTGATCTGTGTCTGTACTGAAACAAAAAGGTCATAATGCAGTCACAGCTCAACAGTTGGCACACTCCTTCAAAGCTGGTGTTTCCAACACAGAAGCTCGCTGGACTGGTGTGTAAGTATTCAAGATCATTTTCAGTAATAAGGGGTGGGGTGGGGGGAAATTACCCCAAGCTTATCTTCCAGTTCCATTAGGGAACTACACAATTCACTGACAGAATCTAGAACTTCCTTGTGTTTTGTTGCTATTTTTTCAACATACTTCTTTCCTTCTTCAGTACCTGTAGTTTACAAAAGAATGGAAGAACAAGCAAAATATTTCCATTAGTGCAAATAATGTAGGTAATGTAAAATATTAGGCTTAAATGTATTTAGTTTTTTTTTTATAGCACAGCCAATTTATCGTGAAATTTCGAGCCTCTGATGATAGCTCTCCAATGGGTGTGACCTCTTTCTCAGACCCTGGATCACACAATTTGGAGTGATCTTATTCACATTTACTCAAAATTAACTTCTCCCAGATCATTTTTTCACTGCTCAGTAAATATCCATAATATCGCACCCCTTTCATGTTTAAGCTGTAATGAAATAAAGTCACTGTTTTAATGGGATAAATAAGTCTATTACTTCTGCTCATTTATTAGACTTTTCAGTTTTAAAGTGATTGCCATTATAGGATCATAAATGCAGAAAGAACAGATGCTACCTAATCTTTATTTGTTCTGAAGCAAAAGAAACCTGATTTGTCTTTCTTATTTTCCCAAGAGCACACATGGAATTTTTGAAATTCTTACCATATAAATCCTTAGCAAGATTAGTAATCTGCTGAATTCTTTCCTCCTGTTGAGGGACAATAGGGTCAAGAAATTTGTTGAATTGCTTGTAAAGTATTTCTACCGCTTCTCTTGTCCTGCACTCTGATGAATATTTTTCAACTCTAGTTACTGTAGCACTTGTTTCTTCACACCAAAACTGACACTGTTGAAGAAAAGGAACAGAAATCTCGATCAGCCTGCCTCACTCTGCCCAAGGACAGCCCAATCAAAAAGATCAGGGCTTTTATCATAGTGCGGGCCTAAACTATAGGAATATTGCACTTCAGGCATGGATGTTGACAGTCTCAGATCAATTTTGTGAATGCCCTCAAACAGGCTTGTCATTATCAGTTTGTTTGCATACACTAGGGAATGCTGGTTTAAACGACTGCCAATGTTCACTGGCATATCTTTGAGTTTTAGAACATTAACAAGATCTGTCAACATTCGCATGGACTGAAACATATAACAAATGTCAAGTATTTCTTCTAATCAATGATATGATACTGGCTGATTGGAAAGATTATTGTTCTTTGGAAAAAGCGATGTAACATTGTTATGTGTCATAAAAGGAAGTTATGTTGGTTGTACAGCTAAGTCACTCCTGGGACTTATATAGCTTTATTCTTAAATAAGAATAGAGTAGAAAGGACAAATACACAATCTAATTATAGCAATATACCTGCAAGGCGCGTGTGTGGGAAATAATGTTAGGTACTCTACCATTCTTAAAAGTAAGAAAGCAAGCACAAAAGAGGAATGAACTAATAATTCTATCTTGTGGCTCACAGATAAAAGACAAAATGCTGTTGCTAAGTGTAGTAATTCATTCTAAAGTACTTCCATTGAATCAATGAAGATTTGGCAAGTCACCTCATCTATAAATTCCATTGATTCAAATGGGCCTACTCTAACTGTGGCTAACTTTAGCATAGTAAGGTCCATTTTGAATCAATGAACCCACAGAGGAGTTGACTGTTGACTTACTAAACCTCCATTGATTCAATAGGCCTACTCCAGTATGATTTATTCTGCTAAGCATATCTGGGTCACAATATCAGAGCCATAGCCAACCAAATCTGATCTGTGGCCATATGCTGGCTTTCTTGCTGTTGAAATAAGCAGGACTCTATGCATATATTACTTCTTGAATCATATATCTTATGGATATAAACCTGAAGAAAACACTATTGCTTGTACAACGATCCACTGTTTTGCTTTTCAGTGGGATGCATATCCATATATGTTTTCCCACTCCGACTATACAGAGCGCAGATGAGTTACTTTTTGAACTCCAACTCTCAGCTTCCCCAAGCTGAGAAGTTTTAATTGGTGTAAACCTATGTGGACTGTAGCCCACTTCTCGGGGTAACAAGGTTGGTCAGGTTTTAGAAGAGGTAGCCATGTTAGTTTGAGCTAGCATATCAGGCAAAACCAAAAGAAAAATAAAAAATAAAGAGGACAAAAGAATTGTGGCACCTTAAAAGTTAATGAGAGCTTTCTTGGACAAATCCACTTCTTCAGTCCCAAAGGTTGGTCAAAACATTTAAATAAATATACGAGTCTTAAAATTTAGGATGCAAATCATTTTTAAAAGATGGGTGAATGCCAACTAGAGATGGGGGTATTCATATTTGTATACAAATACCCCCCCACAGGTGGACATAATGACCGTTCACTCACTGTCTGCTACTGCTGCGGGCTCCGCGCTCCCTTCCTATCACTTCGGAGCTCGCGGTCGATTAGCCACTCCTGGCAGGAGGCAGGACGAGCCTCTCTGCCAGGTTAAAGAGTGGCTGCCCACCCCAGTGCTCCAGACGGATAGGAAGGGAGAGCGGAGCTGCAGCAACAGCAGACAGACAGTCCAGCCCCAGGGGCCTGGACCCTCGTTATGTCCACCTGTGGAGGGGTATTCATATACAAATGCAAACTATTACATTTATCTGTATTCAGGCTTTCTCCACAATGCTGGTATTTAAAGGTTGCGATATACCAACTGATTGTTGCTACACAAGAGTGTACATTCAACCCATACCTCAAAACTGGGCTCTTATCACAATTTAAAACTACAAAGAACATAAGTGGTTTTCTTATACAGTACCTCTTCCATCATCTGCTGCAGGTGTTCCATGAGATTTAAGTTTTGTTTGTAATCCTCCAAAGTCTTGCCAAATTCGTTCAGCTGTTTCTCTAATTCATTAATGGATTCAGAAAGGATCTCGGCTTTATCACTTGGGAGGGTTGCGAATGAATCTAAGATTTTCTTCTTTAAATTCTCTGCCTTTTTCTTCAGTACCTGTTACAATGAAGACAGCAAGGTTAGTTTTTAGAAATTTATTTACATTTAACAGAGTGACAGGGGAAAATATTCTGCATAACAGCATTAGAAATATAGGAGAACACAAGAAATGGTACACATTTTTACATTTCAGTGATGATTTACCACTTCTTTGGAACCTAACACTTTATAATTATCCACAGAAGGTAAACCTGAAGTAACACTGTTCTATATCCTTTGGCTGTCGGGTCTTACAGTGGTTTGGTAGGTTTCTGCATAGCATTTTAGCCTTTGTTAATTTAAAAAATTTGCCTATTGCACAAATAACAGGAATATAATATAGTAACAATACTTATTTAATATTGGGGGGGGGAAGCAGTTGTTTTAAACTCTAAAAAAAGGACAGCCCCTAAGCCAATTACTAACAGAAAAATGATCTTTGACCTTTGGTGTTCTCTTACATCAGCTGCAATAAGAAAAATATCTGATGAATGGTGTCAGTCATATCTGCGTTCCTTTGGGATAAAGCTGATGGACCAAGTTCAATGTTAGTCCTAACTCCAGTGAAATCAATGGATCTAAATGTTGCCTATTATTAACAAATCCCATTCATTTCAAAAGGTCTTCTTAAATTTGGGACAAACAGTAGATTAGGGTCTATGTATGCACAGCAATCAATTACTGCTTGCTAACCGCTATAAACTACCTGCATTTTTTCAGAATATGCCTCAACTTGCTGAATCTGAATTCTTAGTGTCTTGAGGTTTCGTGCTCTTTCTGTTTTCTTGCTGTAGTTGAATTTCATGTTGTTGAATTTCTTCTTGAGATCTTTAAATGATTCCCTGAGCTGAAAAAAGGGATATTGTTAGTTGAACTATGCCAGTGATATAAAATAAATTTATATCATATACAGATAGATAAATATAAGTTCTAAAGTCGATTAAATTTACATCTGAAAGCATTTGTGTACACACAGCATATTTCCATGAGGATAATCTCTATGTTGGAAAAACAAGTAAACTATAATTTTGTTAAGTGGAATGTAAGCATTTACTCCGTTGAAAGCACGGTGTTCTAAAAGGAAGTGAATTTCCAGGCTAGAATACCTAAAAATATCACGGGGAAATATTCAATACATGTTATCGCTGCTAGGGAAAATGCATATATGCCAAAACTCGTAAGTGATTCCACCATGTGTGAGCCAAAAGGACACTGTGTGCTGAACTCTTCTACACACTGCACTTAGATACAAATGTGGGTTGCAAGAACATTTATTGTTTTCTGATCTACTTAATTTTTTGCCCTATCCTGTTATGGGAAGGGGTATTTTCTGTTATGTTGAGATGTGAAATGTTGTGTAGACAGACGTATCTATATGATGTCTGTATGGGCCTTTATAAGGATGGGTTTAGAAAGGAATGAACGGCCTCTCGGCAAAACGAGCCTTGTGCTACCAAACCGTCTGGCTAAATAGTATCCCAAAAGCAACCTCAATGCAAAACAGTGTTATGGGAGACAGGGAAGCCCATGTTTTTTCTAGGATTTTTTCTTTAAACAAATTGCTATGCAGGGAGCAGACAGCAACCATACTGGTGATGGAACTAGAAGGGGGCTCAGGGAGGGTGAGGGTCTGGAATCAAGCAGTCACTAATGAAGTTTTGTTCTTCATAATGTTTTTCCGATTCCCCTTTTGAGGCCTCCCAAATTGGCAGCCATTGCTGGAGCAAGTGGCAAAGCATTCCAGTTTAACTATGTGCTCTTTCAAAGGCTCTAATCTGATCTGATCTGCATTTCTCACCATCCAACTTCAATGAATTAAGAGGGATTCTAGTTTTACAAGGCAGGGAGGGGGAAAAATGTGCCCCTTGTCCAGTTCCACCATACCATCCATAACTGTGTATGTTTCTATTGAAGTCCCTCTTTGAGTGTCTTTTTTAAAATTGAAATTTATGTTAATTAAAATTAATTCATCTTATTAAAATTAATTTTATTACAATTTTACCCCGCGACTTGACACAGATAAGAACATTTTTAAAACTCTTAAAGATTGTAACTTTTTCTCATAAGGAGGTTGCTCCAGTTCCTAATTTTTTTTTTCAGTTGCATTTTAATGGGTCTTTTACACTTTTTTTTAAAGGTGCTGTGGCCGGACTCTAGACAGTACGTATTCCAGGGGCTCACCCATCACAGATTTACATCTACCTTGAATACAAATATTTATATTGGTATATATAAATATATCACTTTATATTGATTTCATTTATAACTATGTCCAGAATGGAATCTGCAATTTTCAGGAGTCACACAGCTACTTGGTCAACATTTTTTTCCCTAATTCTCCACCAAAAGGCTCTTTCTTGCCAGTCAGTTACTTTTATTTGAAAAATTTTATCCTGCCTTTGTCCTAAAAAAAGGACCCAAGGCAGCTTATATCCTTTAAAAAGTCAATAATGAAAGTGCTTAACCATAAGTTATATGAACACTTTAAAAAGAAATAAACATTATATTCAACATATTAGATTAAAAAAATTACCAAAACAGATTTAGAAGCAACCAAAATACCAACCTACACAAATACAAATCATTCAATTTTTATTAACCCTTCTTAGATAAGCAGTCACTCAGGGAAAGCTTGCCTGAAAAGAAAGGTCTTTGCCTGCTTGTGGAAGGACAGCAAAGATGGGGCCAACTTAGCTTCCCGTCGGAGGGGGTTCCAAAGTCTGGGAGCAGCCACAGAGAAGGCCCTCTCCCTTGTCCCCAAGGAAATATACTTGTGAGGGTGGTGGGACTGAGAGAAAGGCCTTTCCTGGTGATTTTAACACCCAAGCAGGCTCAGAAAGGAAGATGGGGTCTTTGAGATAGCTTGGACCCAAGCTATTTAGGGCTTTATAAGTTAAAACCAATCCTTTGAATTGTGCCCAGAAAGAGATGGGCTCACATCCCATTAGTGTGTGCACATAAGCATTTATTTGTTTGTTTGTTCTTACACAACATACACAATTTAATTTTTTTAAAAAAATATTTGTATCACTTGCTGTTTTCAGTTTTCAAATATTGTCTTGTTTAACAATGCAAGCCACCTTGGTCCATTTTTTAGATGGGGTAAAAATATTTTAAATAAATAAATAAATGACTTTTCCTTTGGTTAGAGGGACCCCCATTTGTTATTTTAACCAGGACCCCAGCCCCACTTCCTCTACAGTTTGGAGCTTTTTGCAGTTTGTTTTTGTTCCAACTATCCTAAAATGGTGGTTGTCAGCAACACCATCTTAAGTTGCCTTACTGCTCACCTCTAGCTCCAGGTCAGTTACGAAGAAGTTAAAAAGCACCAGTTCAGAGAGAGAGAGAGAGATGTGCAGGCACACCCACACACCCACCGTTTATAACCTTTTTTTTTGCCAGAACTGATACTTTATTCCTACTTGTTGCCTTCTGTTCTTTCTCAGAAATAGTTGCCCCCAGTAAAATAGATTTGATTTTGCATGCCCTTGGTAAAAACTACCCTTAGGTAGATTCCCACATCAAAAACAAATAGACTAAGATTCAAAATCTGGCTTGAATTCCAAGCTTACTAGTAGAGATGGGCAATAGATGATTTGTGGTGTGGTGCCCTGCCCCCTCTCTGGCAGGCGCCCACTCAAAAGCAGTGCCTTGAGCAAGCAGGGCAGGGAAGCTTCCGAGTGGGTGCCCACCAAACTACAGCAGCAAATGAACTGGGGCAAACCTCTGAACCAGGGGTTTGTGCCCATCGTACTTACTAGGAAAACTATTAGGGTGACTACACAGGTATTTAGTCCCCTCTAGGGATGGGCTGGTTCATTCTTTTTGCTGGTTGCCAGATGGTGTATTTAGTAGAGTGAACCCACCAGACTCCAGAGCATTATTACCTGCACCTTTCTGAGTCCTTGTCAGGGCCAGCAATTCTTTTAGGTACAGATAGGATTGTTCCATTTGGTTCATTTCCAGGACATGCAATCACCAGGAGCAAACAAAAAAGGAGCTTCCTGCTTTTAACTTCCCAGCTGGTTTCGCTTTCCCAAAATCTCGAGTGACTTAAACAGTCGGCTTAACCACTTAATGGTACTGGAAAATTGGGAAATCAAAAACGTGCTTCTTTCCTCTGCTCCTTCATGGAGAAGAGAGCAAGGAAGTAAAGTTTAAAAAAAAATCAAGGAAGTGCCAATGCACATTTTAGGGAAAATGAAAAGTTTTTTTGAAGACTTCTTCCCAGAAGTGGGAGGAGACGGGGGGGCAAGGAGGAGGAATTTTCCTCCTTTTCCTTTCTAGCTTTTCTTAAAAGAAGTAGACCAAATAGGGTTGCTTGAGGTGAATATGCCATGTGGATGCAAAGACTGCAGCACACGGTATACTGGATCTCTACCCGACCTTAAGCAACTCAGTTTAGCCTGCAGTACCCCGTTCCAAAAGAGCTGCATCGCCAAGCCCTATATTAAGCTGTAAAAACCCAGAAAGCTTTCAAACACCCATTAGAATTCATCCACAGCCCGGTTTCCTCATTCACTTCAGGGAATCAGAGAATTTATCGTTCATCCTAGGTGGCAAAACAACTGTTGTGAAAAGAAAAAAAACTAAGAAAGCACATTCAGTTAATGAGCCCTTCAGACTGGATGGGAATAAATAAATATGAACACGTGATGCACAATCCTGAATAAACGCGAACACGTGATGCACATTCATGCTCACGTGATCCCAAAATAAACACACTTAAACCTGTTTGCTTATCCAAGAGCTGTTTGACTCCTGTCCTTACTATGAGTTATAAATAATGTCTCCTACTTTAAAATATGGTTCTCCCCTTACACGAGGATTTCTAATTATCCTTATTAGTTTATCCTAAACTGCAGTGGTTGCAACTTGCTTAGGGGTGCATCAGATTCATGAAAGCTAGAGATTCCCAGTCCATAAAATCCACCTATTCCTCCCAATAGGTGGCATAATATTTGTTTAAAATATAAATTAATTCCTCTTTCCAGCAGGTAGCACCCTCAGAATGAACTACACGCAGCAAGAAAGTTCCTATTCCTACTTTATATAGGGTTGCCATACTCCAGTTCACCAAATCCAAGTAATCTAAGTTGCACCCCAATGGAAAACCAGGCAGGGTTATTTGAAGAGTATGGAAGTTTGCATATTATACAAATTAAGCACACTTTTGTCTTCCCTTGGAACCATCTATACATTAACCCATGATTTCTTGTAAAAGAATTGGCCGAAACAATGACTAAGTGCCTGTCTTACATCTCCAGCTCTATGAGGCTATAGACTTGCTTAAAACAAGAAAAAGCCAGCCAGCTTGACATCCAGACCATACAATGTTTTTGGGTGGCGTGGCTAACCTCAAACCAGGGGATATATGGCAACCCTCCATTCAATTTACCCGTGTTCATTTTAGAAAGAATTTGCAGCTCCTTTTCTCTTTCTGCTGGCTAAGGGGATGGTATGAAATAAGATCTTCTTGATCCAGAAAAGATAGCTCATACATCAGGAGATCTGCAGCTGCTGACACTCTTCTTCCTCTTAATGGAAAATGGGCTGAGGTTTTAGACCTTTACAGTGCCCGACAGCTACCGCTCTGGCTGACTGTACTTTCCAGACAAAAGAATGAACAGTTTGGCATCATTTGATTTGAGAAGTTTCCTTTGGCATCAAAATGAGCATTATCGCTCCGTCAAAGTGAACAAAGCAGCAACGTTCCTTAACTTGCTGTCTGCCACTGTTCCTTTTGCCTGTTCCTTCCGGTTGTGGACCGGTTGCATAGGACTATCCTGGGTAAACATCAAAGACAGGAGCAAGTGCATTGATAAAACAAGGCAAAAAAAAAAAAAA